ACGGGCGATACTAGATATTTTTTTGCCTCTCAGACGACTTCCAAATCCTCAGGTCAGGGACCCTCGGTTTGGAAGTCACAATCGGGGCAAAAACATCTAGTTAACGTCCTAAATACATAAATACCTATTCTAAAAATGCAGTCGTTCTCGAAATGAAAGATGAATTAACATTCACAAGATGTACGAGCGGAATACATGTGCAGGGGAGAATGCGTGCTTATGCACCTTCGGATTGCTCTGTGAAATACATTGTACATATGTTCTGAGATTCTTTTAATGATCTAAAAATTGCATTAAATCGCGCAATTGGAAATGGGTGCAGCGGAAGGAGTGACGCTCGAGGACGTGTACGCCTTCTGCAAAATAGCCATCACATGCCATATGCTTGTATTAAAATGTAAAAGAAGAAGTGTTAAAGAACAAGTAATGATGAAAAGTCATAACGAATGTAAAAGTAATTACGAATGCAATTATAGAATATAATATGGATTTCATAGGAATTTTTGTTTAGTGAATACGTATTTTGTATATTCCACCCGAACTTGATCCAAAAGTTAGATCTCACGTGCCTTGCTTTACACAGTCAGTTGCGCTGTAATTGCTATGTCACGCAAAAAGAGATTATCTACATTAACTGTTTCATTAATACACTTACACTTACAGCAAAAAGGACATCGACTCATGAGACCATGTTCTTAAAAAACTGGAAACTCTGACAGGCATTCCGTTCCCTAATTGCCAACTCTTGAATACCAAATGCTGCGCCCGTTTTGTACCAGACAACCGTCGGCTCTGCTCAGCGCCACACACTGGCTCGAAATGAATTGAGTACAGAGGTATATATTGTAACGAATATTGCATCATCTACCGGGATTCGCTGCGCGGATTGCATCATCTGTCGGCGCCGCTCGAAACGGACGGTTCCGGGTTAATCCCGAGTCGCATGGAAGTATGGCGCTAGTTCCAGATGGCTCGAGGCGGGCGCTGGTCAGGTATAAATTTTTCGCTGCAAGCGGCCGCAAGTCAGTGAGTAAGCAGCCAGTCAGTCAGTGTATGTAGTCAGTGAGTATGCAGTCTAAGTCAATCTGAAGTGGAAGTTGAGCTGTTAAGTGTGCATCGCGGTGAACAGCAGTGCAGTTGACCCTGATCAGCGCCGTGAATTGTGGTCTGCGCATTGAATTGTAGTAAGCGCAGGGGACCGTGGATAGTGAATCGGATAGTGCGATAGTGTAGGAGAAGTAAACAGTGTAAATAAATAATCAGAAGAACAGACTCGTGTGTAAGGAAATAACCAAACAAAGAACACAAGGACTGTGTAACCTATCTGTAAATAAATCACGTATTGTAATGTAACATTAAGAAACAAAATAAACGTCTTTGTTAAAAAGTTCCTGAGTTTTAATTCACCACTAAGAAACGTTACAATATATAGGATACGGCATACGGTACGTGCCATGGGTGCTACTTGTTTAGAGTGCACTCGCTAAATCAAATAACAACCTTAATTTGGAGTATTCTGACTGAGGGGCAACTTCTGTGCTTGACATGGGCCTCAGAATACGTAGATTCGCCTCTGACCTGAGTCTGACAACATCAATCACGCTTATTTTCATATTTAAATCTTGATTTGTAAGAAAAATCTTCAATTCTAAACAACAACGGTAGTCATATAAATAGGATTAATGAATTATGTGATATTTTGTCAAACGTCACTCACACGTGGGACAAATCCCTCTTTAATTTTCCCTGTTTCTGCCAAGTCAAAAAACTGCCCCACTTAAGGGGGGAGGGTCACCCGGGCTGAGCAACCTGTGGGTGTGCGGTGTGCATACTACTCCCATCACTGTGCTCACTTGGCACATCGATGAGAGTGACACTGAGTAACAGAAAGCAGACGAGAGGTTCCAATTCCATCATGATTTGCGGATGTGGGACCATGGCCTTGATCGAAGGGCATCTTTTAGTGCAGTACGCGTCTTTCGCCACCCACTAGCCCGCACGTCTTTTATTTAAAATAGGGGGAGAGGCGTTTCTCACCCTTGGGGTTGGGCACCTCAGTAATGCTCTTATTCTAATTCTCCGCAGGTGTACAAGTACACTTTCCTCATACGGCGGAACACGATGAAAACATATACACATAACATGGGCCACATCACCAGTTGAAGGATTGCAAAATTTCCATGTTGGGTTCGGAGTTGTCAGGATTAAGTACATTATACCCATGATTACTGGTATCCCTCATCAATAATCATCAAGAATATTTCAGTACCCATGAGTATGGCCATTGCTTTGACGAAGGCCACCAACCGTATCTCTACTGCTGTCACATACATGCTAACAATGTGAGTACTTCCGGGAATCAGGGCTCCCAGGCAGAAGTTTCTGATTCCCAAAGCTTCTCTAAGTGCAACCACATCACAACGCCACGACCCCTTTCCCATTATTTAATCCAAATATGCATTTGTTAATGTAAGAAACATATTTAATGGTGTTAATTAGTACACAATTGTGATTAATTTTCTGAACTTGCAAAGAAGCAGAGTGCTGGCAAGCCGCAACTAGGAATACGGATTGCTTGGTTTTCGTTACTGCACTAGCCATCTTGGCAGACTTAGCTACCCTTAAATACTTCTAACTTTACATACAATGTATATCATTGAATATAATTTATTTGTTTATTAGCATTCTAACCTGAAATGATGCTCCCCTATCACGACTTTTCTTACTATTTTATACGTTTATACGCACTAGTTTACTTTATTCTATATTTACTAACATTTTGACGGTTTACATTTTCATTAGAAAAGTCTCAACAATTTACAGTTGACAGTCTAACAGTGTTTATAAGTACATCAGAGCGGGCCTTTACTTCTGCGTGGTCTTTTCTCCCTTCTGTCTCAAGCTGCCCCAAGAAATGCAACTTCTTGCGAAATGCGTTCAGGCAAGGTTCCGTTTGTTCGCCGAACTCTTTGCGGAAACATGGGTTTTGAAATGTCGGAATGTCGGAAAAGTTCGCACAATGAGCGTGAGTGAACTCGACGAACATTAGTATTGTGCAAATTGAGACTGATGCGCATGAAAAGATAAGCTATTGAAGCTTACTAACGCTGTTCAAAAACATCGATTACAATTCTAGGCATGTGGAAATGTATTGTGCTTGTGGTAGTAATGTGTTTCATTGGTTTTTCAGGGTGTGTTTCTTACACAAAATCTTTAAAAAAATATTTTTGAGAAGGAGAGATGATGCGTATAGAAAAGCCAGGAAGTCAATGTTTTTGAGCCAGCATTCATTGTAGCCGTCTCCCTCTATGACGCCACCAAGTGTAGAGATTCCGTATGCGAACTCTCTTGAGCTACAGCGCGCTGCCACCGCGCGCTTCCGTCGGTGAACGCGGCGTCCTTCCCCCTCCCGCGAAGAGGCGCCGCGGGTTGCTTCCTGCGCTGGAAATCTGATGACTGCTCGAGGACCACGGAGATTCGTAATTGGGAAGTGTTTTAATCTTCCCCTGCGGCAAAAGAAGGCAAAATGGAATTAGTTGCCGGTGCGCGGCGCGCGCGCGAGTGCAAGGGAAGATCCCGGGAGGAGGCGGCGCCCGGCGGAGGGAGGGGAAGCGGAGCCAAGGGCAGCTGAGAGGTGGAGACATGGACGAAGGTGGAGGAAGCCGAAAAGAGGGGAGAGGCGAAGGGGAAGTCCACGGCGGAGACGGGGCGGAAGAAAACGCGGAAGCGCAATTAAAGTGAAGGTAGAAGCTTAGAAGGCTGAGATGGAGCCAGGGACGAAAAGAAGCTGAGACGCACCCGATGGGCGGAGAACCTGAAACGATAGCGACGTTATTGGGACGATGAAGGTGCAGGCGAAGGCAAAGTGAAGGAAAAGGAAAAGGCGGAGGCGAAGGCGGAGATGAAAGCGAAGGAGCAGGTAAAGACGCAGGCAGAAGTGAGGTACACGACGAACACGGAGGCAAATGTTAAGGCTGATGCGAAGGCGGAGAGAAAGACAAAGTCGTAGACTGAGGCGAAGGTGGGTGCGAAGGCAGAGGCGTAGACGAAGGCAGAGACAAACGCGGAGGCAAGGGTGGAGCCGGAGGCGAAAGCGAAGGCGGCGGCGGAGGCGGGGGCCGAGGCGGAGGCGGTTGGGAAGGTGACGGAGTGCATAAAACCTGAGAGAGCCCGGGGGCGGAGTTGAGGGAGGGGGCAGATTCCGAATGAAATACAGATGGAAGGTAAATCGGGAAAACGGTAGCGCGGGAAAGAAACAAAACAGTAGTTAGATGTGATTTTCATGACGTTCGATAAACACCGAAAATTAAGTAATGTAGTTAATCACAGAATAAATTGAAGAGTGGATAGTAGTTAGGCAATGAAGAGATTTGGTACGTTAGATAAAATATATTATGACATGTGAAAATGAAAGATTGTTTGGTTAGTTTGATCGGGGAGCGTATTTAGGAAGGTGAAAACAAGTAAATCGTTGAGCAAGAAGAAATGCAGAAGTAAATATGACAGGAAGGTGCATCGTAAATGATAATAAACTATAAATGCATCATGATGTGGAATAAACAGTTTAGCGTGTCGCGAGCGTTAAGGTAGCCGTAACGTAAGGAAAGCGTTTTGAATAGTGAGCGAGAGGTCTGTGGTGTCGGGGCCGGGCGTTTTCGGGGTGTACTCCACCACGTGGAGCGGAGCCCTGCGGCTGAAGGGAGCGCCAAGGAGCAGCCCACTTCTTTTTGCTCCCGCGGGTCTCGCTGGCGAGGGGCGGTGGCAGACGGCTGGACAGGAGGATGGTGATAAGGCGAGCCACGTATGGACAGGGATGTGACTCGAAAAGGGGCGGGGCTGCGTCGGGGCCACGGAGGCGGAGGGCGGAGAGGGAGGGAATCAGATGAGGCGGGGTGGAACGGCAAACTGCGTGAAGGGAAGGGGTGTTGGGCAGAGAGAGACGATAGGGACTAGGGAGGAAAGAGGTGGGTCGAGAGAGGAGGTAATTGATTGTGCGCCGGATGAGGAAAGGGATGAGGCGGGGAGGAGGAAAGGGGTGTAGCGAGGGAGAAGAGTATGAAGGGGATACGGTAGAAGAGGAGGAAAGAGGGGAGGCTGTGAAGGAGGAACCACACGAGACGGGGCATTGCAATGCTGAGCGGGTCAGTGACAAATATGACAGCGGGTTTTGTGGCGGGGAGGAGCGGGGAGCGCCTAGCAGCGCGCGCGGGTCGGCGGGGGGTGGGGCTCAGATCGATGCTTGGGCGGGCGAAGGCGGCTCCGGGCGTGCTTTTGAGGGCGAGCAAGCAAGCGGAACCCCGCTCTCTTGTGCGATCTGGGCGCACTTGGGTGTTTTCGCGCTGTCCCGCGGCTTCGGATTTCCCAGAGATCCGTGCGCCGGTCTTTTTACGTCTGTTTGGAATCCAGCTCGGTTCTCGCCGTTTCTAAACGTTGTGTAATCCGGAGGGTCGCTTTCTTAAAGGAAGTTTTAAGTTCTAATTAAATTTTAATGTAGAACGTTTACTTGAAATCTAAAGGGAAAGTGCCGTAGAGAGAACACACACAATATACTTTTATTTTGATCAAGATATTAAAGAATACATACAAACTCTTCTTTGCCTCTCAATATTTGATGAAGGTGGAGTGTCCCTCATAATAGCGTTTTAAATCAAACAAGTTGAATTGAGGACATTTGGGCAGCAATTTTATCCGCCAGAAACCCAAATCATGAAATGTCTTGAAATCCAACAAATAAAAAAAGTCAATAATACCAGTTTATTTGGTTCTCATTTTAGAATGTAGAGTATATGCCATTTTCTATTTCATCTGATTAATTTCATGTTTATTAACTCTTAATATTTATTTATTGAAGAAAAAGTAAAATATAGGTATTTCAAAAACTTATGAAAATATCAATTACGTCATTTTATATTTTAATATTACGAGTTATACTTGTCTCTCTACAAATTACCTACTTTAGATTCATTATTGTAAAACTTTTGTGTCCTAAAATATTTTCCTTAGTATTTAATTTCGTTTCTTGAAAATTTTGAAAGACTAATTATTCGCAGTTAATCTTAAATTAGTAATACTCAAGCTATTCTTTAAGTTTCTTGACAATTATTTTTTAAGCCGATTAGAGATAAAATTTATTTGCAAATTTATTTACATTATGTTACAGCAGTTCCATATACATTATGGAATAAGACTCCATTCTATTTAATAATAATAGTATTTTGAGTTAAGCATATTTCTTAAGCTAATATTGTTTTCATGTGAAGAAAATCGTTACATTCCCGTTGAAAACGACATTAGAGATAGTTTACATTTTTATCGAATAAAAAATACATAATAAGAGAATAAAATAGAGTTTTACTCGCGAGGGAGAAATATTGAATTTCAAGCACGTTACCGTGCAAGATATAATCTGGTGACTTAAAGTATAAATAAATATTCAATAATACAATATTGTTTAAATATCGTTTAGTAAGTATGTAGGTACTTTGGCACAATAGCTCTTTATGAGGTAAGACCTACCAGCAGCGTCCCGGCTTTGCGGCCATGGGTTAAAGGGTATGTGTGGTTAGCACTTAGCCATAAATACCGTTTATTAGTACACAATATTTGTATTATTCGGTGGATATCTTCATATTTTGATCAAGATATTAAAGCTATGATATTAATGCATATTTTATATATATATATATATATATATATATATACTTAATGCATGTCTTATTTTTTTTGTTTCAAGAATTATTATGAATATCATGTTTTGTAGTTAACGGTTTATTTATTCAATTTTTCTTCACCCTCTTAATTTTTCGTTATATTCATCCATAGTACGGGCAAGTTTCATGAATCTTTAATGCTCTTTTAATTTACACAGTCAAGCGCAGAATGGGGAGATTAGCGGTGTTTTCTTTCCATTACATTCGGGGCATTTACCGTCACCTAGGCAGATTATGAGTGGGCTGAATGTACGAAGTAAATTTGAAAAATAATTCTGCGATGGCGGTTAAGTAATGGTCTCGTACGTTTTACTCTGCTCCGCTGTTCCAGATTACTTTTTGACCGGAATGCAAAGACGAAAATGGAAGGGGAGTGAGAAGATTAACTTTTCGCAGAGAAAGCCAGGATGGAATATTAGAGTATTTTAACGGCTGTCAGCATAATTTACAAATGTTGTGCGAGCAGAACGTAAAAATAAATATAAATTACGAGCTAAAGCTTAATGAAGCGAAAAATCTATTCGTTATTTGTTTAAATTCCCAAAGTGAGAGCGTGAAAGCAAAGCGGAGAGAACCCAATGTTAATAAACTTCAAGGGAGACCCATTTCACAGCGAGACACAACCGAAAGCGATTTGAAGTGATTGTTTTACAAATAATGCCAGGAAAATGCACAGGTCTGCATGAATAAATTTGAAGCAATTAATCATGGGGAAAGTAGTTGAATCGGTATTCTCTATCCCTATAGTTGTGAGGCCTTACCCAGAATGAAATAATTAATTGTCAAAATCAGAAGAGTGTGCATTCTAACGAGAATTGTATTAAATTGAGTCACCAAGAAATTCACGCAATTGTTTTTGCAACTATATCACCCAATTGCTTTGGCATTGCTTTGCTTAGTAATGAAAGTATCTTCCTTGTCAGCTGATACATAAAATGAAACAAAATTTGTAATTGTACACTATCTAATTATTATGTACTAATATTAGTTTGTACTTTTCTTGATAATATTGTTATTTATTATCACTATTATTACTCAGTTTACTTCATCTTACATTACAAAACTGTATAATAATTTATCATCAATATATGAAACTGTGTTTCATCTGCACTAAAAATTATATCATTGTCGAAACACATTAAAAACTTTACTGAAAATATCGTCGAAAACCATTGAACTGTCTCTTGCGTAAACAAATTCACTAACCGGTGCTCCCGTCATTTCAATCATTTGAACAAGTACTTTTCTCAATTTACCATGAAAGTGAACAACGGAGATACACATCTATAAAGATTCGGTTGTTTCGATTATGAAAGAACTAAAGACACACAGTAAGAATGAAGGACTTAGTAATGATCACGAAAAAAAACAACGAAAATGTGAAAAACAATGTAATAAATTGACATTCTCGGCAAACTATGTTTATTAAGAAAGAGTTTAAATCAAAACTTTTCATCAAGTTAAAAATGAATCGAGGTAATAGACATTTGTTTTAATTTCTCAAAACAACATTTCGTACCATATAATTTGAGTTCAAATTTCGTGGCTAAATGATTTTAGAGCTTTCGTAATTTATGAGTTGTTTCATATTGTTTCTTTGCTTTCAGGTTTCGTCGTGTTCATGAAATCTACAATCTGATATTCGTGTTTTCAGTGCTCTGGTCTGGCAATAAATGGTGAGTTTTCTATCTGAATCATGTTTATTCTCGTTTCCTTCATAATAAAAAAATGTTTCTTTAGAAAATGCTCATTGTTTAATGAATAAAAAGAGCTAGAGTAATATCAATCTATGGCACTGGCATTTGCAATATTTCTTTTTCTCCTTAAAATCATAAAAATACATTTCCCCTTGTACAATTCAGTTTTCACATTCGGTATTCTAGGGACCAACGATCACATAAAACTATAAATTAAATATAGGATTATTTTACCGCCCTAATCACAAATCTGCGGAAAATGTATGTATTTCGTTGCTTAAGCAATATTTTTCTCGTGTTCTTAGAGATTTTATATTAAAATATTCATGATATGTGGGGTTAAAAAAGAAAAATAATATAAAAATTGCTCTTTAGTATTTCCTCGCAGAAACTCATGAAAATAGTATTCAGAACGCAGAAACTCACGAAATAGTATTAATATTGTTTTAATTATCACTCAACACTTGCAAGTAAATTGAAAGTAAATTGATTACTGTGATGAAGCTTCCCGTCGGATAGAAACACAATCATTTTTTAATGATAATATTTGCATTTTTTTCACGTTTCGTACGTAGTGTGTATGCAAATAAAAATTTCTCGAGTTACAACGAACGATTTCGGGGCAATTCAAATTGTTTTTGTGGGAATAGAAACCAATTAGTTTGTTCTTTCATGGTGTTTTGTTGGTTTTCGAGAGAATAACTTAAAAAGTCATGAAATAATCATAATAATAACAAAATAGTGTATAAAAGGAGAAATAATCAAGAGCGAGTTCCCAATGAGGGATGCTGGAGTAACATAAAATATCGTAGGAAATCAAAGAAAGAAATTATTGTATTTTCTACTTTTTTGAAATAAAATCACGAAATAGTATTAATATTGTTTTAATTATCACTCAACACTTGCAAGTAAATTGAAAGTAAATTGATTACTGTGATGAAGCTTCCCGTCGGATAGAAACACAATCATTTTTTAATGATAATATTTGCATTTTTTTTTCACGTTTCGTACGTAGTGTGTATGACTGTGAAAGTTGGGTTATAAGGAAAATAAAATACTCCTGAAATAAGAAATTGATTGTCTATAATAATACCAAGTAATTTCATCTCAGTAACCACTCAAAATACAAACGGTCCAAATAACCAAGAAGTTTAGAAATTATTAATAATATCAGTGTCGAAAAAATGAAGCCGTCATTGTCGCTGGCGCGTTTACTGCGCGTCTGTGAGCGTCGGCGGCGGCGATGGCGCTGTCACCAGCGACGCGGGCGAAGGGCGGGGCGGTGCCATTGGCGGCCGGAGGACGCTGCCGTCTCTCTTTCAAGCGGCGGTGGACCCCAGAGGCCGAGGTGGCGCCGGCCACGGGCGAGCACGGCGGGAAAAAGAGAGCCGCGGGGATGGTGAGCTTGCTGGGAGGGGAGGAGTGGGGGGGGGTGATCTCCCGCTGGATGGCGAGATTCAGTGGTGATCTACATTTCGGTTTGCGGGGTTTTCTCCATCCAGAAATCTCTCATCAGTGAGGCCCTGGTCAATCACTGGTCCCCTGTGTTTTAGGGGAGTGCATGTAAGTGTTAGTAAAGGATGGGGAAAGGGCGAGGAAAAAGAAGGAAAGATTACGCGCGGTCAACGGACCGTTTGTTAGGGAACTGCTCCGACATTAGTCTGGCGGTCAGGAGTAACGAAGGAAAACTCCCGATCAGTGCAGCCGGCCGGTAGAACTCTCCTCTAGACAGGGGCTGGATTTGACGTAGCTCTCTACGTAGCATCGAACGTCAATGGCAGATATTTGACACTACTACGCCATTCGAATCCTGGAATGTGCCGGTCGGAAGCTGCACAGTAACATCCGTTGGAGTTCTGCGAGGAGAGGTCTCGTGGAAGCGGCGCGCTGCAGCGTGGGCACGGCAGAGTTGAGGGCGACGTGGGTGGAGGGCTGATGGAGTCGGAGGATGAGATGCAAGTAGGGTGGCAGGAGAGGGCGGCGACGGGAGGTGCGATGACTGCTGCACATGTGCTCAGGCCGGGGGCACGCTTGGGGGGAGAAGGCATCAGTGACAATGCCGAATGCTGGAGAGAGAAGCTGGAGCGGGCAGAGTTAGATGTAAGGGGTGGCAGTGAAGGTCGTACACATTCATATGCTATCCATGGAGACCGCAGTGGTGTCAGTTTCATACTAGACGAGGAAATATGTTATGTAGCCGGTGGAGAGGAGTGTTAGGGATTGTATAGTGCAAAAAAATTGGTACCTGGTAGTTTCATGGTCACTGAAAGCGTTTCATATAGTATCTTTTTACGATTGTACATTATATGACGATATGCGGTCCGTGAGTGACTTTAGAACAATTGCCGGAAACGGAGTACGTCTTTGTAGAAATGACGTCTTTGTAGAAAGGAGACGTTTCATTGGCAATAAAACGAAGAATCACGCTCGGGCTATTTTTACGCTCTGCAAAACGTGCCTGTGTTTTATAGACTATTTGATTTCGCGAAATGCAGTGTGAATTGCTTCATAGGGGATACCGAACTACATTTGGACGATGTCATGCAAGTACAAGTATTTCAATGCATTAGAGCCGGGAACAGTGTGCGTTAATGGTGAATGTTAAAAAGAAATAATTCTGATGCGGAGGACAGATTGTATTAGAAACTTTCGGTTGACTCGTTAAACGCCTTCAACATGTTGAGAAATCAATATTACTAATTTCAGTGTACGCAAAAGTTGGAAGGAAACTGAGCAGTATTCAGTTGTCTGAAGTCGGCAGTCATGTTGGGAAGTGTCGTCGGTAATTAGATTGTTATGTTAGATACACAGGGACTTGAGAAAAATTCAAAAACAATGAAACAGCTTCGATTTTGTCTGAGAAGTGAAATTGTTTGATTGCACCGATTTTCGTTCTGCGCGAACTCTCTTACGCAGTGCTTCGCAAGTCACGCCTGAACTGTCTTGAAAAACAAGGCTTGCTGGAAGACGCCTCTGACTATTAAATACTTACTAAATAATATTTTGTTTGATTGTAATAAATAGATAAATAGCATGCGAGAGAAAGGTTTAATTGTATTTTATTTTAATTTCGGAAGTGTCTTCTTTCGTTTTATTTAACTTGTTTGCCCATTCGTATCAACTTTGATTCAGTATAATTAACAGCAACTAAATACACGAGCCTTCAAGTTGTGAATATATTGTTACTTTCTTATTATCGATCAGCAATGTAGCGTATAATTTAATACACGATAATACTGGGATTTCTTCTTTCGATACCACATTTCAATTATACAATTATAATTTTTATGAAACAGATATAAATGTCTTATTTCACTGGTTATATTTTAAAATGTGACCTTATGTGTAAAATTATGATGTAATCAAGCACGTTGAACTAACAAACACAAAAGGTGACATTAATCTGAACGGAAACAACCGACGAACATTATAGAATATCAATAAAATTGTAATGACATATATAAATAATTGTAATGTCATAACCTGAGTTTTTGCAGGGAAAACCGTGTGTGTGTGTGTTTATAGTACAACGGACTTTTTACCAATTTTAGAATATATTGAAACTTTGTCGCATTAGAAAATGTAAATGTTGCATGTGAAATTTCTGTTATAAAAAGTCAACATGATATAATTCTGTACAAAATCAGTAAAGGAAGTTAGTCAGTCAATCAATACAGAATAATTCATTTGAGGTGGATAAAAAACACCACTCTCTTTATATTATTAACAATACACTACTTTTGTCTGAGAAGCATAAATTCTCACAGAAATAATTTTTATTATTTTCCTATTTTTCTTAGCCTTTGTCATCAAAACTTTGTGTGCATATACAAGACTCGAAGTGCTGCTGTAGACTCGACAGGCCATTACAGCCGTTTGCGAATATGTATCGCAAACAGCAGGTGCACTGAAATTGTAACGGACGGGAGGAGAGGTAGGGCGCAATCTCAGGGACGTGCTTCTCAGAGAGCTTTTGTAATACGTACCCCAATGGCATCAATGCATAAATTTTTCCTCCATAAAACTACATTTTTCGATGGATATGCTTAGAAATAGCCTCAACGTTTCGACTCACAGTAACCATAACCTGTACGATCTAGGCGTTAGAGAAGAAGAGAGATTTAGTGAAACGTTTGTGCATTATGCAGGTGTTCCTCAGAAGAATGGCAAAAGAACCATTTTGCGTTGTGTAATAAATTGTTTTTTGATGTGGTGTATTGACTTGATAACTTGAAATGATTCACTCGCGTAACTGACGTTAATCCTTACCTTAAAATACAATACAATACAATTATTTTAATAGGTATCGATATTTTTCAAACGTACAATTACGTACTAAAAGATCTAAATATGGCAATGTGCCATTTGTACAATATGTTGTTACTCCTTGGCGTTTACGAATGTGCAAGGTATCATTAAACGAAGAATCATTCTTAATGTCTTCTGCACATCCACTGAAGTCTCGAGTTATGCCTATACTAAAAAATACAATGATTTGTAGTGCTATTCTGCACCAAAATAACATTTCAAAGATGGTAATATTTTCCAAGATTTCTACACTTTGCACTAGTCTCGTATATTGAAGACCAACATGCGCAGGACCTGATGAAAGCCTTCAGAAGCAATAATGTGAGCAAATCAGTATAACCTATACTATACTACGTTCCCCTAAAAATATTAACTAGTGGGCTCCAGAATGGCACAGACTTACCCGTATTAGTTTTCTATTTCTTATGGTCTTCTCTACCAATTCGAACATGCCACATACTCTTGCCTGCTGCCATCTATCACGTCTCAAAGATCTTTTTTTTAATTTTCTTGATTTTTTGGTTTCGTAATGGAGATTAAATATTATTTTACGAATATTAAAGAACAGTAAAACATCGTCTTAATGGCAATATTCTTTGAAACATTTGGAGCCGTTTTTAAAAAACTGGCGTTTAAGTGCAACTGTAAATTCGAAATTTAAAGCTCTTTTTCACAGAAAATTTTTCAGTTTTCGAAAAACTTAATTTGAAGAACTTTAAATCACAAATACTATAGTGATTACAAGTTGCTGGAAATGTGCATTCAATGGCTTTAGATATCTTTCCAAAAATGACCAGTTGTGGTATTTTTGAAAAAACAAAAAAATACACCGAAATTAACATTACGACATACTAAATAGAGCAATTACCACATGCTTGAAGAACAAATATAGAGCCGTTTTTGAGAACAATGGCGTTTGAGAGTTTCTGAAAATGCGGAGTTTTGAGGTAATTTTCACAGAAAACGGTTGAGTTTTCGAGAAACTTTGACAATATTTACAGCACATGTACTCGTTAATATAGTAATATGAACAAATTGCTGCAAATATAAATATTATCGACGTGAGAAGCAAGTCACAAAAATACATAATTGTTATTTTTGAAAAAACAAAAGAATAGAACAGTATGGCGTTTATGTAATTTTATAGAGTGCATTTAGAATAATTTCTACCAAGAGTTTAAAGAAAAAATTGTGAGTCATTTTTGAGAAAATATTGTTTTTGTTATTTTTAAAACTGCACATTTTGCACACAACATAAACTACTAAAATTTTCAACAAAAAAAATTACACGAACTTAATGAAATAACTCACTAAGGGGAACAAATTAAATTTGAAGGAAAAATGTCTATCTTCATTTTTGTAGTTGTAGGAAGACACCGAAACAAAATTCACACTTTTGAAATTTTCGAAAATTCAGTTTTACCGTGTAACCGTATAACCGTGAAAATTGAACCTATGCCACCTTTAAAAGTCTATGTTACTTTATTCTTACAAGAAAATTAAGGAAAAAATTGGAATCGTTATCCGCCCATTTTAAAGATTTTTTTCGAAGTCTCTAAGATTCGACTCGAACCTAGTGGACACGGATTTCTTCAATTTGGAAAAATCCTACTGGTGTTAATAGTGTTCACAGACACCAGACAGACGGAGGGACGGACGGTCTGACAGACGCAGTGTTAAAAATACACTTTTTCGGAATCAGGGAACCCCAAATCGTGTATTTCCGTTGAAATCTCGAAATCGATTTTCCGCATCATTACATAAGTTTCCCTGTACTACGCATATTACTCCGTGTATATGGGAGAGTAAAAAACGAATGAGTTGTAATTTTTAAACAATACAAATGTGAACGTAGACTATTGCTTTACAACGTAGATTGTTTTTAATTCATGAATTCTTATAATGTTGGATTTAAATATCATTAGAGGCTTCCATCGTGAGAGGTCTCAAGACCGCGCTCAGCCTTCCTGTGTACCCATCCACCACCGCTGGTCGTGTGCGTTGAAGGCGGCAGATGCAGATGCATTGCGGTGGCGCCGGGTGTTTGGGTCCTATGGGAATCGGCGCCGCTGTTCGTCCTTGAGGCGGCCGCACAAGCAGTGGCAGTTGCCGCCCAACAACCAGGGTCTCACTGCCCTACCCGCGCCCGGCCGACCAACCGCGGCGCGTGGCTACGCGACTCCTTGGACAAAGCTCAAGAGCAGAAGTTGTTTATATTTGCTTTTTGCGCGCCGTAGTGTACAGAATTCTCAAGCAATATCTCGATCACTCGAAACCACTTACCTTCGGTGGCTCGGGGCATGAACTAGGTGCCTCTGAAGATGAAGACCTAGGGATAGAGACCGACGGAGGTAGGATTGTATTTAGCTACATTTGTAGTTCGGATTCAATCGTTGTCATTGTTATAGAAGCCGTCTGCGCTGTCTGGTAGTTTTGCGTGGTTTCTTCTAACAGCATCCGGTGAATGCTGGAGCAATGCAATCGTCCCTTCCTCTTCCTTGTCCTATTCGCACCCTTTACTTACACACACGCGCACTACCCTACCACATGTGCAGGGCCATCAGTGGGGAGCTTCGAGCTAGTCCCGAATGGGGTAGTGCCCCGCTAGTGGGAAATATGTTTGGGAAAAAACCCGCAGGCCGTCGGTGGGTCGGCGCTGCATCTCGCCATCCGGCAGGCGAAGATGCACCGCCTCCTCCCGCGATCAAAACATGCACTACACTTATTGGACTAATAACATTAGCAGTTAACGCGGACCGCGGCTGAAGACCTGAAGTGACCAAGGGAGAGGTCGCTTACAGCAGCATTATATATATATATATAGCAGCACATGTATAAGTGGGTGTCAGGGTCTCGGCAATTCGAGATGAACAGGTCCGGGCCTTTTATCGAAAATGATAAATTTATTA